ACCAGCTGTTGAAGAGGCTGTCATTTCCCCATTGTATGTCCATGGCTCCTTTATCATATATTAATTGACCATATATGTTTGGGTTAATATCTGGACTCTCTATTCTGTTCCACTGGTCTGTGGCTCTGTTCTTGTGCCAGTACCAAATTCTCTTGATTACTGTGGTTTTGTAGTAGAGCTTAAAGTTGGGAAGCGAGAAGCCCCCTGCTTTATTCTTCGTTCTCATGATTGCTTTGCCTGTTTGGGGTCTTTGTGGTTCCATATGAATTTTAAAACTAATTGTTCCAGTTTCTTGAAGAATGTTGTTGGTATTTTGGTACACATTGCATTGAATCTGTAGATTACATTATGAAGGATGGTCATTTTGACAATAATTCTTCCTAGCCAAGAGCATGGGATGAGTTTCCATTTGTTAGTGTCCTCTTTAATTTCTCTTAAGAGTGTCTTGTAGTTTTCAGGGTATAGGTCTTTCACTTCCTTGATTAGGTTAATTGCGAGGTATTTTATTTTTGATAAATTGCAGTTGTGAATGGAATTGTTTTCCTGATTTCTCTTTCTGTGAGTTCATCGTGAGTGTATAGGAAGGCAACAGATTTCTGTGTATTAATTTTGTATCCTGCAACTTTACTGAATTCAGATATTAGATGTAGTAGTTTTAGAATAGATCCTGTAGGGTTTTTTATATACAATATCATATCATCTGCAAATAGTGACAGTTTGACTTCTTCTTTACCAATCTGGATGCCTTGTATTTCTTTGTGTTGTCTGATTGCTGTGGCTAGGACCTCCAGTGCTATGTTGAATAACAGTGAGGAGAGTTGGCATCCCTGTCTTGTTCCCAATCTTAGAGGAAAAGCTTTCATGATGTTGGCTGTGGGTTTATTGTATACATCCTTTATTATGTTGAGGTACTTGCCCTCTATATTCATTTTGTTGAGAGTTTTTATCATGAATGAATGTTGGATTTTGTCGAATGCTTTTTCAGCGTCTATGGAGATGATCATGTGGTTTCTGTCCTTCTTTTTGTTGATGTGGTGGATGATGTTGATGGATTTTCGAATGTTGTACCATCCTTGCATCCCTGAGATGAATCCCACTTGATCATGGTGTATTATCCTCTTGAAGTATTTTTGAGTTCTGTTTGCTAATATTTTTTGAGTATTTTTGCATCTATGCTCATCAGGGATATTGTTGTGTAATTTTATTTTTTGGTGGGTTCTTTGCCTGGTTTTGGTATTAGAGTGATGCTGGCTTCATGGAATGAGTTTGGAAGTATTCCCTCCTCTTTTATTTTTTGGAAAACTTTAAGGAGAATGGGTATTATGTCTTCTCTATGTGTCTGATAAACTTCAGCGGTGAGTTCATCTGGTCCAGGAGTTTTGTTCTTGGGCAGTTTTTTTATTACCTATTCAATTTCTTTGCTGGTAATTCATCTCTTTAGATTTTCTGTTTCTTCCTTGGTCTGTCTTGGAAGGTTGTATTTTTCTAGGAAGTTGTCCTTTTCTTCTAGACTTTCCAACTTGCTAGCATATAGATTCTCAGTATTCTCTAATCATTTTTTGTATTTCTGTGGGGTCCATCGTGATTTTTCCTTTCTCATATCTGGTTCTGTTCATGTTTGTATATTCTCTTTTTTTCTTAATAAGTCTGGCTTGGGGCTTATCTCTTTTACTTATTCAGAGAACCAGCCCTTGGTTTCATTGATTTTTTTTCTATTGTTTTATTCTTCTCAGTTTTATTTATTTCTTCTCTGATCTTCATTATGTTCCTCCTTCTGCTGACTTTGGCCCTCTTTTGTTCTTCTTTTTCCAGTTTCAATAATGGTTACTTCAAACTATTCATTTGGGATTGTTCTTCCTTCTTTAAATAGGCCTGGATTGCTATATACTTTCCTCTTTGAACTGCCTTCTCTGCGTCCCACGGAAGTTGGGTCTTTATGCTTTCGTTGTCATTTGTTTCCATATATTACCTAATCTGTTTTAGTTTTGTCATTGATCCATTGATTAATTAGAAGCATGTTGTTAAGCCTCTATGTGTTTGTGAGCCTTTTTGTTTTCTTTGTACAATTTATTTCTACTTTTTTGCCTTTGTGGTCTGAGAAGATGGTTGGTAGAATTTCAGTCTTTTTGAATTTACTGAGGCTCTTTTTGTGGCCCAGTATGTGGTCTATTCTGGAAAATGTTCCATGTGCACTTGAGAAGAATGTGTATCCTGCCGCTTTTGGGTGTAGAGTTCTGTAGATGTCTGTTATGTCCATCTGTTCTAGTGTGTTGTTCAGTGCGTCTGTGTCCTTATTTTCTGTCTGGTGGATCTGTCTTTTGGAGTGAGTGGTGTGTTAAAGTCTCCTAGAACGAATACATTGCATTCTATTTCCTCCTTTAATTCTGTTAGTGTTTGTATGACATATGTTGGTGCTCCTGTATTTGGTGCATATATATTTATAATGATTATATCCCCTTGTTGAACTGACCCCTTTATCATTATGTAATGTCCTTCTTTATCTCTTGTTACTTTCTCTGTTTTGAAATCTATTTTGTCTGATACAAGTACTGC